ATTAAAATATACTCTAATGGTTATGTCTCTTGAGATGGAAGGGTGTGTCCTTTTGAAGGGTCACAACCTTTCTAAAGATTCATAGAAGAATCTATAAATTCCATCTCCCTCACTTCAATTTGAAGAGGGAATGGTCATTTCTTCTTCATTTTGCATTTATTCTTCATAGTTCCTGAGTCTAATTTTCTTATAAAGAGAGTACATGCACAGTGAAGTTCGCTAGGCTTGCAATACTAATGCTGCTAGTGCAAGACATTGATTGTTGTATCCTGGAAGATAGACGTCCATTGAATCCTGAGCACCGGTGGGAGGACGAATCTGTCTTAAGGAGAGAGTGTCACACACTCGACTCAATCAGGTTTTATCTATTTATGTATTGTAAGTTTTATCACGTTATTATGTCGATTTATTTCAGTTTTAGTTTTGTCCAAAATCGTTTGCATAATTTTAAATTATATTTTCCATATATTTTGGTACTATTTTCTAACACCCACCACCTCCTCTCACTTTGCAACAACCCCTTCTCTCTTACCCAACACAGACAGACCCGCAACCACCTTGTGTTAGCACCTCTCCCCTATGCCGTCGTCACCCTTTCGTGCACATCCCTCTCTTGCCTTTTCTCTTACCACATCTCCATTCACGTGATTCTAGTTTTCAATGAAAACTAATTTCAATAATCAATGGGCAAGAACCCAGTTTCAGTAATCCATGGGCAAATCACAGTTCCACAATTAATGGTAACCCATTCAAGCAATTAATCTAAAATAAATAACTCACTTCAGTTCAATTTGCTTGATGCAACGCACTCCCTACCCAAATGATATATGAACATATATATATATATATATATATGTATATAACAGTGTATATGTATATATTAATTTATATGTGTGTGATTAAATAATCAACAGATGGGAAACTATAAACTATGTTAAAAACATTATGAAATTAAAAGTATTTAGATAAATATGTGCTTATAATTGGTTAATATGTTATCAGAATAATAAAAATTGTATATAACATAGAGAGAAAGAGAAAATACCAGAAGGATACTATGGTCATTTTGTATCTGCTGTTAACGATGTTAGTTTTCATTTTAGTCCAAAATCATATGGGGACTCTTTGGCTATTTTTAAACGATGGGGAAGTAAAGTGCTTTTGGGTCAAACCTGAGGGAGGTAAAGTGAATTTTGCTCTAAATAAAATAGGTCATTTGTTATTGAGAGAGTGATTTTTTCATCGGATTGGTGGGCCAGACAAATCCCAATGAGGCCTAGGGCTTAGGACTTAGCAATATGAGGATATCTCACACACTTGGACCATAGCACAAGTGTTGGCCCCTGGCAAGGACAGAGCAACAACCCCGACCCCTGATTAATGTTAATCCATGCTTAATTATGCCTAATGAGTAACTAAAGTTAAATTTTGCATCATATATTGCCTTATTTGTGTTTATATCTGTTATACATAGGACGATCTGTTCATGTTTTCTTTTCGGTTTGCGAATTGAAGGGCTTATCGATATTCGATTCAGAAATTGACTTGGTTTTTGTGTTAATTAGATTTTTTAGAATTTTATAGTAGGTTTAATTGAAATTCGATTCGAAACGGTTAAATTAGATTAATTAATGCCACCTTGCTTACCTTAAGCCCAATTAATTAATTACCACTAAGCAAGCTTATATAAGGCCACTCTTACCTCTTCCTACACATTTTGACACCCTTATTCCCTCATCTTTGAGCTCAACGCGAGAGAGAGTGAGAAACTAAAGAACTTAGGACCAAACTTGAAGTAGAGAAGGCCATTGCTGGGAGATTTGGAGAATTACTCAAGATTTTGACTAATTGAAACTCAATTGGGTAGCTTAGGTAAGAGCTCAACCTTGCAACTTTGGAATTGAGTCATTTAGTACATGAATACAAATGAAATACGTGAATTCGTATGGGAATTGATCTAGAATTGAAGAAAGCTAAGTCATTCCATACATGCATGCATGTTTATAGCATTCTAAAGTTGTTTTCAAAGCTTTTCATACATGTATGTTGTAATTCTAGCATGGTTTGGAAAATTCATAACATTTCTTACCATTGGACCTCATTTGATCATGTTTTTGGAAGCTAAGAACTCAAGTCAATATATGCATGACAAGTTCATATCATGTTCTTAAAGTTTAAAGTTGAATTTTGGCTAATTTACTTACTCTTGGGCCTTGATTTTGCGAAATGATCCTTAATTTTTGATGATTTCCAAGTTTAAATGTATTTTCTCAAGTGTTTGGCCCAATGGATGAGTTTTGTAGCTTTAAAGTTGAAATTGGGAGCTTGGAGGTGAATCTGGAAATTCTAGAATTCGACCTATCCGCTCGAGCGTCAGATCTTACACTCGAGCGGCCACCTTTGTTTTTGCGTCTCCACTCGAGCAACCAAAAGTTCGCTCGAGCGTGAAATGCAAGCTCCCAGAAGTTCCATGTTTTTGCAAACCGCTCAAGCGGCAATAGTTACGCTCGAGCGAGGGCATGAGTCTCACGCCCGAGCGACTGTCGAGCGTCTGTCGAGCGTGAAAATCACACAACCAATACTTTTCCAAAGTTTGCAGACTGCTCGAGCGGCTCCTCATATGTTTTCATGACCGCTCGAGCGGGGATCCTTGTTTCCAGTATTTTGACCAAGTGTTTTCAAGTGCATTTTTGAATCCTCATTCCATCCTAGGCATTTGTAGGCCAAAATTAAGACACCAAAATGAGGATAAGAAGTAGAAACACACCAAGATAAGAAAGAATTAAGTTAATGTTTCCGGGTGTGTAATTCTGTACATGTTCGTTTTGTAACTGTGTAGGCCACGCGCCACAAGACGTCTGATTTGCCCATTTTGTCTATTTGCCTTGAAGCCATCTATTAATCATGAGTAATAACTTAGTAAAGCTATGTTTGATTATATGTATTTTCTGACTGAAATTATATAATCTGTTTTCTAAAATCCTATTTTACGAGTCATGAATGAATGTCCATTTTTCTGAAATATAATTGTGGCATCCTTAGTTCACGTAGCCCTCGTCCAACAATACTGTGGCAAATATGCACACGGCCCTCACCCAGGGGTAACAATACCGAGGCCTATATTTACATGGCCCTTGCCTGGGGGTAATAATACCGAGGCCTATATTCATGTGGTCCTTACCTGGGGGTAACAATACCATGGCTACTTGCACGCAAGATATGGACCTTTATGGTCGTCGGTACCGACTATACATGTGGATCTCAGGACTAAGTTGATATGATAGCTAATGGATGTACCACCTATAACTGTTATGATTTCCGGATAAGCATGTGAATCTGAATCTGTTTCTGATTTGAGAGTTAAACATGCATAAGAATCTATTTCTGATATAAACTCTGTTTTCTAACTTTGAGATGGATATCATTCATTAAACTCTTTACCTTGTTATTATTTACTGGGCCCCTGCTCACTCTATTATTTATGTATATAGGTGACCGGGGGTGTGGCCAGGCTCAGTGATGACTGCTTAGAGAGTTTTTGGTCAGCTAGCCTTTGCTCCTCCTGAGGAGGTTCTATATGGTTATGTTTGTGAATGAAAAGGGCTTTGTTTTCTTTTGGATTATGAACGAACTTTCTGCTAACTGTATATTGGGCAAAGTCCCTTTTTAGTTCTATCTATAATGAATGTGATGATATAACATCAGGTATATGTGTAAAAAAAAACAAGAAGAGATTTCTGTCCCATATATGTATGCACAACTTAATGGACTATGTATGTTTCTATATTTGCTTCCGCAGCACCTAATTATATGTTATTATGTTCAGAGGCCTTTGGTAATCCAAGGATTACTGGCCGGTTACGACACTAAACCCATAGAGGCGAGTTTGGGTCGTGACAAAGTGGTATCAGAGCACGTGTTCTACCGTACACACGAGTCTACATGAGCTTAGGATGTCCCAGTAAGAAGTGGGGGCATTCCATCTGCATGTGTGGGTGTGTGGTAATTTTTATAAATACGAAAACTGAATTTGAATCTGGAAAAATAAAAATTGAAAGAAATGAACAAGATTATTCCTATGTTTATTATTACTTGGTGTCTCTATAGCAACACAGAGAATGCAAGGGGAAATGATACAAGCGAATCTTCTGAGGCCCGAATGAACATAATGGAACAGATGGTTGCGGCTTTGACTGAATCCATGACGCAGCAACTAAGACAACAACCTTTGCCTCCTCCTCCTCCGCCTCCGCCAGTGCTAGTTGAACCGGACAATAATGACATCATCAATTTGACTCAGAAATTCATGAAAATGAAACTGCCGATCTTTTTGGATGGTATTGAACCATTGAAGGCAGAAACCTGGTTGCTAGAAATGGAAAAGTTATTTGAAGTATTCCCTTGCTCTGCAACTTAGAAAGTACTTTTGGCTACTTACACCCTAAAGGATGAAGCCCGGAGATGGTGGCTATTGGTTCGAAACAACAACGGGGATATGACATAGGCACAATTCAATGAGATATTCTACAACAAAGTACTTTCCCCAATGCTTCAATGACCAAAAAGTTTATGAATTCCAAGAACTTAAGCAAGGGAAGATGTCCGTAGCTGAGTACGAGGCTAAGTTCACCGAGTTGGCCAGATTTGCTCCTCACATGGTGGACACAGATTATAAGAAAGCACAAAAGTTCAAGGGAGGACTAGACTTGGAAATATTTGATCGAGTAGACATCCTAAAAATGCCTACTTATGTGGAAGTGCTTGACAGGGCATTGATGGAAGAAGCCATAATAGCAACCAAGAAACAAGCTACAACTCCAACAACAGAATGGAAAAGTAAAAGATCTGGATTTCATTTTAAGAAGGGTTGATAAATTTCAAAGAAGCAAAACACGGGATCTTCCAGTAGCTCTAGTTAAAGTAGTGAATCTATTCCAAATTATCCCGATTGCGGAAGGAAGCATAAAGGTGCATGTTTTCGATGTGGCAAGATTGGCCACATGGTTAAGGATTGCCTGATGAGATCCAATGAGGTTTACCATCTTGCGGCAAGTTCAGCCGGGTCTGTTTCTGCAGCAAGATCAAATGCAAGAACTAATGCTAGGAGTAACACTGACAATGAAACGTTGAGGCAAGGGAGAGTATTCGCACTAGTGCCCGGAGATGTACATAACACCGAGTCTGTGGTGTCAGGTATAATTTCCATTTGTGCCCAAAATGCATATGTCTTGATAGATTATGGTTCTACACACTCATTTGTGTCGCATGCCTTTTTTCGAAAACTAACTAGACCCTTAGAATCCATGAATTATTTATTGTCTGTATCTACGCCATCTGGGGGCTTTATGGTATGTGCATATATATATCCGGCATGTGATGTTTTGATTGGTGATATGACGTTGTACATTGATTTGCTGCCTTTGAGCATTGACCACTTTGATTGTATATTGGGTATGGACTGGTTAACAAAGTATTGTGCATCTATTGACTGTGTAAATAAATTTGTTGTATTTCGTCCACCTGGTATGCCTGAGTTTGTTTTCATTGGGAACGGAGTAGTCCCTCCCCCATACTTGATTTCGGCCATGAAAGCTGTTAAATTGCTTAAGAAGGGATGTATGGGTTACTTGTGTTGTGTATTGACTACATCATCTGATGGTATCAATGTGGAAACTATTCCTGTTATTTGTGAATTTCCCGATGTGTTTCTGAATGACTTGATTGGAGACTTAGTTGATAGGGAAATTGAGTTCACTATTAAAGTGACACCGGGAGCGCAACCAATTTCTAAGACCCCTTATAGAATGTCAACCTCAGAACTTCAAGAATTGAAAACCCAACTTCAAGAATTGCTAGACAAGAAATTCATCCGTCTGAGCACTTCACCTTGGGGTGCTCCAGTCCTATTTGTTAAGAAGAAGGATGGGTCCTTGAGATTATGTATAGATTACCGGAAATTGAATAAAGTAACCATGAAGAACAAATATCCACTACCCCGAATAGATGACCTATTTGACCAACTCTAGGGGGCCCAAGTGTTTTCTAAGATTGTTCTTAGATCCGGGTAACACCAGTTAAAGGTCAAGGCAGAAAACATAGAGAAAACTGCATTCAGAACTAGGTATGGGCACTATGAATTTTTGGTAATGCCATTTGGGGTAACTAATGCACCTGCAGCGTTCATGGATTTAATGAATAGGGTGTTCAAACAATTCCTGGATAAATTTATTGTTGTCTTTATTGATGATATACTGATTTATTCTAAAAGTAGGGAAGAACATGAGAACCACCTTAGAACTGCCCTACAGATTTTGAGAGAAAAGAAATTGTATGCAAAATTATCCAAATGTGAATTTTGGCTTGACAG